CCCACAACCCAGCCAGGCTCGATAGGACTCCTTCTTCAGCTTGACAGCATCCCTTACTATCGGTGTCCACCACCGGGTTCCACCACCTTTATCTCAATTTATCAATTAATTCAAAGGCATGCATTACCCATGTGTTTCATTAGTTTATAAATTCAAAAGGATGACACTACTGTAATTCATTGAAGGACTAAATAAAAAAATGTTATGACTTACTGATCAGAGAAAATCAATCTAAAATTGACCTAATCCATTTCCTAGTGCTATAATTGTTAGTATTATTATTAGAGTTACAAGCTGATCGCTGGGATAAAAGATCAATGATAGTAAAGAATATCTCCAGTCTTTATTCATTTTTATGTCCACTTCAGGAGAACATAAAGCATTATTTGATGCTAAGATGTATAACATTCATGAGACCTTAGTCATCATTCATAGATCAGTTTGTCTATCTCTTCCTGTAACTAAGTGGAAATATATGAGATTTTATTTTCTATGTTTACAATTGTCCCAAAAAATTAACAATATTTAATTTTCTTGAGGGCTGCATTCCTTTTTTCTCTCTTGATCTACCTCTTTTTCTGCATTTTTGAAACAATTCTTCCCTGCGACCTACTTCTTTTCCTCCAGTTTGCAGACTGTTATTGCTGTATAAGTTTCTCTTTTTCTTTTCCTCTGTAGTTCTCACTCTGTCTTATAGCAGAGGGTCCTCCCGTGACAATAAATCAGCTCTTGCAGGATATCCTGAATGAGATTTGGTTCAAAGTGATCATAGAATTTGACATAAAGATGATCTGAGAGGAAACTTCTCTGTCTGTGCGACACTTTCTGTTTTTACTCATAAGAGGCTGTTTTTACTCATAAGAGGCTGTCTTCGTCCCCCTTACAGTATCTTCAGGATGTTCTCAGCAGACAGGAAGCGAGTGGAGACAGCGCTGGAAAATTGCAACCTCCCTTCTGGCAGAGTAAGACGGCTAAATACAGGATTTTTTTTTTACCTTATACACACATTTCCTCTGTCTATGGATCTGCTTCCATCCATGTGTGTGGCTTCGTCTCGTTGGCTCTTTTTCTCCCCTGCTGCTTATCTTCATCTGCAAGCTCCTTAATCTTCTCCACCCATTCATCAGTGTGTCCTCTCACCATTTAGCCCATTATCTACTCCCCTGAAACAGTAACTGATTGCTCCACTGCTCATTTGTTTGGAGTCATACTTTCTGGACGTTTGCATGGCTTCCCACTCATATCATATTCCTCCTTCGTTCCTCCTTTCAACGCATCCAACACACCCAATAGGAGCAATAAAGATGACAAAAGCTGCTTTATTTCTATCTTTTTAAACTTCACATGAGAAAAGCTGCTCTGTCATGCAAGCTCACCCACAGCACCATCTTTATGCTCCAAGAGTGGAGAAGAAACCCATTTGCATCCCTGAAAGTGACAGGATGCGGTTTAATGAAGTTTTGAACACCTGCTGAAACATACGAACACACAGGAGAGCAGACAATAGGGCTGTAATAAACTGCTTCTGAACATAAACAGAAATATTAACACATACTCACACAAACACAGACTGAAAGCTATACATAATTAGCACAATGAAAGAGATCAGGGGGGGGGGGACGTGTTGCTGTATGCAGGTCTGCTGGGATTTGCTGTTATTCCACAGCACAAGTAATTACAGCTAAACGGTATCGCCGTTAATCCCTCAAACACACACATCCTGACAGGCAGAAGTGCATTCACAACATGGTTTACACCAAGGTCTTTCGAATGACTCAGTAGGTTTCAGCAAGGCTTGACCTGAGTCCCCCTCCCAGTGCATCCTTCCTCGCCTTTCTGTTCTCCCACTCCTTCACCCCCTGGTTCTGCTCTGGTTCCTGCTGCCACATTGCTGCTGCCTGCTGCTAAGAGCACTCTGTCTTTATCATATGAGCTAGCCGAGGATCTTTGTCAGGTGGAGATGCTCTTTCAAAAAAGATAAACATAATGAATGAGTAAGAGATCTGTGTTTCCTGCAGACGCATCAGGGAGTTGGATGCAAGAGTTTTATTTAAACAGTATAATAAATATCTGGCACAGCCAAACAGCATGACTCATATAGAATATACTCATTAATGTGCGGAGGTGGTGAGCGGGAATGAGGATGATGATCAGCACACAGGATGGGTTCTGCCTCAAAGTTGTTTTTCAATATACGTCTCCAATATATGGACTCCACACAAAAAAAATACAGTATATACAGTATCACATGTTAAAAGCTGTTCTCATCCTGACTCAGAACATAAAAGGTTTCCAAGTACCTCCATGTAAACAGGCATTACACAACAGTATTTCATCAGGACTACAAGTTCTCCAGTTTTTGTGTTATATCATGCGACAACAAATATAAAGAACGTTTTTTTGGTATCATTTGCCCTGCTCAATTTAAGAAATTATACAGAGAGGTATAGAGAAAGTTGCAGATTCTTTTGGTTTCTCACTCACTCTGAAGTAAAAGTACAGCTACTTTAAATATGGATGTAATAAAACCCACTGTTATGTCAACTTGGAGCATGATAACGTTTAAGGAGTTTTAGTTAGTTTTTGTTACAAATATTTAATTTGGCTTGAAAACATTATCATGTTTCAATCAATTTCGCCGTACCTGAATGGATTATATCGACTATGTGTATCTAGGTGTTTTTCACCTAAATATTAGCACATGAGCTGAAATGTGTCCTTCAGTCCCATCATGCTGCAGCAGATCAGGGTTCAACTGAAATCTTGTGGTTACCATTTATATCTATAAAAGCTACCACAGGCATTAAAAAAGTGTGAGTAGCTTGTTTACGCAACAAGGAAAAATCATTAGTATTATTGTTTACCTTCTAATAAAAAAAAAATGGATGTGTTTCACTCAAAAATATAATTTTTTCTCAACTTTTTGAAAGCTACATTTAAATGTAAAGTAGTGTTTATTCTAAAGTCAAAGATCCTGAATGTAGTTTTTTATGGATTTACAGGTTCTCTGAAGTATTATCCCGACCCCCCTTCTGGATAACCTGTTAAATACATATGCAGTTTGTATTATACTGTTCATCCTGTCCTCTGCAGAATGACTCCATCCCCCAGGAGGATTTTACTCCAGAGGTCTACAGTATGTTTCTGAGTAACATCTGCTCTCGACCAGAGCTGGACAACATCTTCTCTGAAGTGTAAGAGCTGTACTGCTTCTGATTTAGTCGATGACCTCTAATCATACTAAATATATCACATGTATATTTATTCCAGTTGTTTCTGTAACCTTTATTTCTTAATCAAATGTAACACTTTATAATGCTTTAAAAGATTTCCTTGAATGTAGAACTTATAATTTCCTATCTTTTTATATCCATCAATGTTTACACGTTTTATTTTAATAAAAATCTTTATTTTCACCCAATTTATATGTACATTGATAAATACTTGTGTTTTATTTATTTTATTTCATAAAAGCATATAAAAAAAGTGTGCCTACCCTGCAACAACTAAAGCCTCACTGTTAAGCTGCCGACCGAACTGCCCCTTAGCCCTCAGTGACTCAGAGAGTGAGATGAGCCAGCATGACAGCACGACTGCTGTCCCAACATGTCATAAATCTTGGTTTTAATTACCACTAAGTGTGAGGGCACAGGAGCCAGGAGGATACATGAAACATAATTTACTTTCACAGTCATAGATATGAAATGCATTTTAATCAAGATATAAGCATCTGTTCCTTTTCTCCTCTGTATGTTTCCTGTGCTGTAATTACAGCTCCTCCCCTCCATGATTTTACTTTGTTTCCTTGCCTCAAAACTCAATTTTTGTGCAAGCAAAGCTCTCTGTTACTTTTCTGGTTTGGTTCATTTCCACAGTGGAGCTAAGAGCCGTCCGTACCTCACAGTGGAGCAGATGACGGAGTTCATCAACAGCAAGCAACGAGACCCTCGCCTGAACGAGATCCTCTACCCTCCGTTGAAACCAGAACAAGTTCAGCTGCTGGTGGACAAATATGAACCCAATATTTTACTTGCACAGAAAGGTCAGAGACGCACATATTTGTCATAAACCCACTGCATGAAATAAAACAAACTGGCATGAGGAAAAGATAGACAGATCCCAGCTTGGTGCACTGCCACTTAAAGCCATGATTTCTACTTTCTGTAAAATAATTCACTTTGGGACAAATTCATTAAGCATTGCGGTGTCCTCCACTTCATGCAGCTGTTTTGCTTCCACCATTACTTTTATTTTTTGACTAGATTCACAATTACTCTAAATATAGGATAATCAGAGGCATTCATCAAAAAGCATTGGGAATATGGAGCTCTCTCTGCATCAGGTACAATACCAGGTGTCCTCTCTCATGCTGCAAACACAATAGAGTGAAATACACAAAAATCCAAGTGTATATTTGATAAAGGCAGAAATTCAGGTCAGGATCTGATGAGGCAATTAATTTGATGCTTCCCTTATAACGATTATTGAGAGATAAGGAGCATCAAAGGTAAAACTGTTTAACACCATAAAATTACAGTATTAGATTTAGTCTCCACACATTTACTGGACTAATTAATGATTATGTGGGATAAAATAATGAACCTGTGCCTCTTTATGTGAAGGATTAAGTCCCCCCCGCCTCTTTAAGCAGGATAAAGATTCCTTTTTGCACTACTGCTCTCTATTACAGTAGGATATTTTTATTAAGAGTTATTTTAACTCTTCTATAGATCATTTTATTGATATCTGCAGCAAAGTTTCACGAACATTGGATTTTTTGTTTTTTTCAAAATAGACTACAGGAATTGAAACACAATTCAGATTATATATTTGATTAGAAAAATATATATGTCTTTCTAAATTACAATGCAAAAATGATCTAAAATGAGTAAAGATTTCTTAAAATATCCTTAGTTTGAGTATGTAAATAAGGTGATCTTCCGAAGGAATGAGAATAATTACCTTAAGAATATGAATATTAGATATTATGCACTTGAAATATGAGACTGCAGTTATTTTTTTTATTTTAAATGGAAATGATCTCACTTACCTACTCAATTCAAGAAATAAAATGTAGTCAATTTTTAGAAAAAATGACTTAGTTAAATTTCCCTTTTTTGCAGTGTATAAGGCTGATGTTGAGAGGAATGGGGTTTTGTAACAGGAAGAAAAATTTAACATGTAAAAATGTTCTAACATAGTTCTATTTTCTCAATTAACAAAAATAAGTGAGTTTGAATATGCAGATTATAGAAGAGCAAAGCTACCCATAAAGCGCTGTTTAGAAAAATGTGGGTAAGCTTTTGCCAACATTTGAGAATACAACATTTACAAACCACAATTTGGAGTTATGATAAGTACACAGTATAGTGTACAGGTTGTACCTGAATACACTGTGAGAAATCACCCATTAGGATTTCATGTCCCTGCAGAGGAACCCTTCCAAATACCGCACCTGTTTGTTGTCACATTTGAAATGCTGTGAAACATTTTGCGTTGCTCGGATGCAATAGATTATGAGGTGCCCCCAGGGACATAAATCAGAATTAACTTGCATATACACATATTAAATTACACTCTTCCATTCCATTCTACTAGAATGCTCTCATATACACTATTAGAAAGCTCTCATATACACTATTAGAACGCTCTCATATACACTATTAGAA